AAAGTACTGGAGTAGAAGTACAAGTACTATATAAAAAAGCTGACTTTAGTAAAAGTTGAAGTGTTGTTTCAACTCCATACATACAACGAATTGAAGCTGAGAAATGACCATTTAAGTCCTTCATTAAAGTCAACACAGATTTAGTTAATTGCAGTTTAAGAGACGCTGGACAGAGACGTAGAAAGTACTGGAGTAGAGGAGTGGAGTAGAAGTACAAGTACTGTATAAAAAAACTGACTTGAGTAAAAGTTGAAGTGTTGTTTCAACTCCATACAACTCCATACATACAACGAACTGAAGCTGAGAAATGACTATTTAAGTCCTTCATTAAAGTCAACACAGATTTAGTTAATTGCAGTTTAAGAGACGCTGGACAGAGATGTATAAAGAACTGGAGTAGAAGTACAAGTACTATATAAAAATATTGACTTGAGTAAAAGTTGAAGTGTGGTTTCAACTCCATACAACTCCATACATACAACGAATTGAAGCTGAAAAATTACTATTTAAGTCCTTCATTAAAGTCAACACAGATTTAGTTAAATGCAGTTTGTGTAGTCTTCTGCCCCCTGTTATCAGGTGTATCTGATTGTGTACAATAGGATTTTGAGCAAAGTTTTTACCACTAAATTATGCAAAAAGTGGAACCGTACGTATCAAATATGATACATTTGGCATTACAGGGTTAAGGAAGACAAAAATACGCACTTCCAGCATCTCTTAAACTGCATTTACCTAAATCTGTGTTGACTTTAATGAAGGACTTAAATAGTCTGCGTGGCAAATCATTAACCCTTAAAAACCTGATCCAAGAATAAAACAAAACAGAAAATTACTTACTTTACTTTTTTTGGTTTGAATTCCTTATTTGGCCTTTTAACAAAATATGTAAAAAGAAAAAACAGAAATACATATTTAATATTAGTAATTTATGTGATATGTCAAGTCTTCTGCCCCTGTTATCAAGTGTATCTGATTGTGTAAAATAGGATTTTGAGCAAAGTTTTTACCATTAAATTACGCAAAATGTCTCAGACGCCAAACATTTCAGAAACCGTATGTATCAAATATGACACATTTGGCATAATAGAGTTAAGGAGGATTTCGATTAAGCCCCGCCCCTCTCCGTCCTCAGGGATCCTGAACATCCTGGGGCTGCCGGTGACCCAGTGCCCGCTGGGCCTGGGGCCGGAGGGCCTCCCCCTGGGGCTGCAGGTGGTGGCCGGGAGGCTGCAGGACCACCTGACGCTGGCCGTGGCCGTCCACCTGGAGAAGGCCTTCGGGGGATGGAGGGACCCCGGAGCCGAGTGAAGCCGCCAACACGCCCGAGCACAAACGCACACAGAGGTAAATCAAAAACCCCCAGAGGAGGATGAGGAGGAGGATCATGCTAAAAAAAATCGCACAAACCAAAAAAGCGGTTTCTGCCAAAATCGGAGGAGATTCTGGCGTTTTACGGCCTCAGCAGGCGGAGATGGAGGGGCGGTTTCCCTCTCAGAGCCGGTTTATAGGCGGTGGATGAGAGGGTTCGGCCCCCAAAAGTTAAAACCTGGACCCTCCGTGTGATGATGTGAATGCTGCTTAACTCCTGTTTTGTGTTGCAACTCCCAGAAGTCAATAAAAACCATCATGAATTTATTCTCTCCCTCTTCTAAAGTAATTTCCATCGGGGGTTATTAAAGGAGACATGTTATACCCTATTTCAACAAGTTAACCTACAGTAGTTCCCTGGTGTCCTAATGTAATGTCTGTGACAAG